ATATTAAACGTGCTTTTACATCAGACAAAGATAAGCAGCAAATCCCCACAAAGCTGCAGTGTTTGCTTGATAAATAATTGATAATTCTCTGTCAATCAAAAAAATCATTAGAGCTCTACTGTACTCATTAACTTTAAGCTCAAAGCGCTGCTTTGCAGAGAACACATAACTGTAGACTCTGTGCTCTTATTGTTCAGTAGGAACACACAGGGAAAGAAAGCATGTGGACAAATTAACAAACTTCAGAAAAAGTAATCCAAACCCAGAGACATTATCGCACTTGTCATCTCTGCCAGAGTTGTACTGCTGCCATCTTCATGTCTTGCTTTCCTCAGGGGGTTTCCCTCCAACAATCTGGTCTTCAGCAAAGAAACGCATGCTTTGGAAATAGATGCTTTGGGTTCAGATGACTGACTTGGCCACTGAAGTACATTCCACGATTTCAACATACAAACTCATTAATTAGATTCATATTTTGGATAATTGTCCTAAAACTGGAGGGTCAGTGAGGAGTAACAGATAGGAGTCAAAACCAGAATGCAGAACCCAAATATTTAGAAAAATCACTCTCAGCTACGAAATAAGCCAGTTAAAGATCTAGTGTTTGCTAGAAACCCTCGACTAACTATAAACACACACACACACACACACACACACACACACACACAGCTGGAGGTCTACTGATTCACCACAGGCAACAAAGATAAAAAACAGTCACTTTAAAGCTCATAGAAACACAGACCTACTTTCATAATTGAGGTTAGAGGCAGACTTGCTTTAATTCCTGTGAAGGCCCAGGTCACCACATCCATCACTCATACATCGATGCAGCAGGCTTGGCCATTCATCACTCACTCTGGGATTTATTAGTCAAGTCTGGAGCTTGAGGGTGAGAGGCTAAGTGATGAGCATTGTATTAGCCGTTATCAGCACAGAGAGAGAGACCAAAGTTGGTCTGTTTGCTTATACACACACACACACACACACACACACACACACACACACACACACACACACACACACACACACACACACACACAATCGGAGTGTTTAATCAGAGCTGTGGCTGCCAGAGCTGGAAGTTAAATATACAGCCATGCACAAACATTCATGTGTCAAACAGTACACACCAAAAAAAGAAGAAGAAAAAAAAAATCTGATAACACTTAAACACTTTCACACACACAAACATCCTGTGGAAACCCAATCTGTCTGAAACCAGCATAGCACTCAGTGGGCGCCTAACCACCAGAACAGACTTGTTTAGCGCGCTGGATGACCAAAGAACACACTTTTTAATACGCACACCCACAATCAACTTGTTGGGAACAGTGCCACTACCAGCCAGCCGAGTTGCCCGGGGGGCACCGCACCATGTCTCATCGTTGAAAGCTAAGGTTGAACGCAGTGGTAGTGCCTGGCGTAGAGCTGTCACTTTGACTCCTGATCCAGGTTATTTGCTCTGAGCGCTAATAGGCCAGGTTCTGCGTTACGGGGTCACTTCAGTCACATGATGGGCATACTTTTTTTTTTCCTTCATGTGTAACAGCGAGACAAAAACGCATGCACCACACAGGCTTTTATTACTAGCTGTGCCTTAAAAGCCTTGCTGCTGCGTAGTGTTTTACATTCAGCTAGAAAACCAAAGGAGTCAAAGTGTGTAAGTGTGTATGTGTGTGTGCGTGAGAGAGATAGTGAGCGAGTCTGTCTGTGTAAGTGCTCTCTATCTTGCCAGCCTCAAATCCAAAGCAATTAGAGAGGCCAGATGGTGGGCTGGACTCACAGTAAATAGCTGTGCATTGACAGAAGAAGCCTGCAACAAAAATGAACTGTGACAAGGAGCCAGGATGACACACAGATACATGACGGCATCAAAGCACCAGGCAAACACCGAGAACTCGCTGCCATCACTGCCATATACCAACTGTCACCATCACAGGCACGTTAAAGAGCAGAATTTGCTTGTGTCAGTTTTTGTTTTGTGGGGAAACAGCAGCGCTTTTTAATGTCCAAACTAAATGAGGCAGGTGCATATGCATGCATCAACACACGCACACAGCATATTTAAGCATAAACCTACACACAGTTAAACTTCTGCATGCCCTCTTGTTGAAATTTGACCAAACCTGTTTGGTTTAGGCAGAGCTCAAACAATGCAGCCTTTGAGAGGCGCTCCATTCACCCAGTTTCAGCTTGGCCTGCACATTCCCCAACTGAAAACACAAGCTGCCTCCCTCCAGGAAAACCACTGAAGCTACATGCCCACATTCCTGCTCTCTACCCTTTTTCTCTACGCTTGTACAGCTTTTACATGAGAACTGTTGAAACTCTGCTGAATATAATAGTATTCCTGCACTCTGAAATAGGAATGCATCAGTGCTTTCATTATCTCCAGGCACCGGTGAAACACCTAATAGAAAAATGTGCCCTTTAAACAACTACAGCATCTGCTACCTAGCCATTACTAAGGCAGCAAGTTTACTTCTGCCAGCCAAGTCACATATACAAAACAGAACGGGAGGAGGTGGAGCTCAGGACAATTATAAACCACGAAATGGCATCTCCTGTTCCTGCGCTCATTTTCCCATAAGCCTGTTATCACACTTCTGTTGACACACACTCACAGATTTATCAAAAGTGAAATGAGACAAGCAGCCAGACCAGGAAATGAGAGTGTGGGGAAGGGGAGAAAAAGCAGGGGTGTGTCTGAGATCTGAAGGATGGGTGACAAGAGACCGAGAAGCTACTTCATATCCTGATCAATTAATCTATAAATTTAATCAGTGTGAATCAATGACTGGCGTTTCTATTCAATCTGGGTGCTCAGTCATCCAGCTAACCTCAAGTGTCAAAGAGACATGAAGGTAAGAAAGAGGAGACACATACCACACACAGCAACACCGGAACATTTCAAAAATCAAGAAATCTTTAATAGTAACTGAATACGGAAAAATAATCTAGAAAGACATGACAAAAATGGCAATACCAACTCTAATCTGTATTTTTACTTCTTTTTAAGACCAAAATAAAACTCAAATAAAAAAAAATAAAAAAAATACAAAAAAGAAAAGAAAAAAGAACAACTTTACACAAAGCAGTCAATAATAAAAAGCACATTTTGGGTAAGACTGTTTTGTTGTGTGTTTGTATACAGTTTCACTTGTATAGAAGAAGCACATTTGCCAGTTTTGGCAGCAATCACAGCGCAGCAGTCAAGAATAAAGCACTCATAAAACATAAATTATAAAGCACTGCAAAAATAACAGAAGAGAGGAGAAGCGGTAAACAGGAGAAAATAAATCCTTCATGCGTGCTGTCACTGAGTAATACACAAACGTGACACCATAAATTAGTAATTCTTTTTTCTGCTACATATTTATATATTTATACTATGTACACCGGAAGCTTCTCTTTTTTTTTTCTTCATTTTTTACTTAATGCATGTGAGATGGGAGATGTTAAGGCTTTGATTACTCATCAGATGTTTGGAGCCAAAGAAACGATAAGAGCACGTTGCTCTCAGGAAAAAGAAAAAAAAAGGAAAAAGAAAATATTGGATATTCTGACTATCTAACCTTGTGCAAGACCTGGACCAGGTTTGCAGATTTCTCTTAAAAGCATTTTGTCTGACAAGCCTTACTTGGGCACCGAGGTGGGTGGCAATGGGATGTGCTCGTGTGTGTGTCTGTGGAGGCGGTCGCAGTAGCAGAGGTGGCTGAAGTAAAAGACAACATTTTGGAGTCAAGTTAAAAAAAAAAATAAAAAAAATGCGACTCTTCTAAAAGCATTCAAAGGGCTCTGGGAGGGGGAGGAGGTCAGCGCGGTGGCATTTTTATGAAAGCGATATTTCCCTCTGCAGAACAAGACCAGAACGGACAATCGCTTTCCTAAAAAGCCTATGTCTGTGATACTGGGTGAAAGGTGTGCGTCTCCCCCGAATGTGTAGTTGTTTATGTTCTACACAGTCACTGATTCGGGAACAGGCTGGACACTTTGGGGGGCAGAAAGCACTGGAGCAGGGGGACACATCACGGTACAGCTCTTTCCACACTAACAGAACTCTGTATGTGTCCTGACAGAGCCGCTGTGGAAGAGGCAGAGTAAGACGAAGTGTGTTCGTGTGTGTGTGTGCAGCTACGCGAACACATTTGTGTGGGCTTGTGTCAGGAGATGGCAGAGTTGTCAGGTAGAAGGTGTCTTCTGCACAGTTTGGCTGTGGGAGTGAGCATAATGAGACTGACTGAGGGGTGTTTGTGTGTGGGCGAATGCATCTCAGCACTCTGCGAATGTATACGTACAGTATGTGTGTGTGCGCCGAGTGAGTGAGTCTTCTCGAAATGCACAATAATATCTTCGGTTTGCCAGTTTTCCATGGTGACAAAGGGTGGCTACTCAAGTTACAGTCCAATGGCAGTGAGAGATGTCCTAAAGCCGCCGAACACACTGGCACACAGATTTGCACGCACACACACCGAGCGCTGACTCAACAGACCGTTGCTTGCGTCGTTACGGTCTATCTGATGAATTGAGTATTGTGTGTAAGTTTTTGCATTGTGCAGAGTTTCTGTCAAGGAGAAGGTGAAGCCAATTGTCTTCCAAGAAATGTGTGCTTATAAATGCAGATAAAGTTACCTCGGATAAAAAAAACAAAACAAAACAAATTCAAGCATATGCATCCCCCCCCCCCAAAATCAAATTGGCCCTTGGATAAATTAAACTCAGTCAGTTCAGTATGTTATAAACACCCAAACTACTGAGGTATGCGTTAGGTTAAAAATTACATTCTGAATGCCTTCTGAGGTTTAGCCGACCCACAAACGCTTTCCTCTTTACTTCCATAACATCGGAAACACTGGCTCCATCGATCTGATATTTACATTTTCATAAATATCCACATTTTCACAAGAAAAATAAAGATGCTTACGTATATAGTACACAGATAGCTCACACCAAAATGTACATACAACAGTTTTGTCCCTTTGTCAGTATTCTTTTTTTGACCCCCCCCCCCTTCCAAAAAAAAAACAAAAACTAAGTGTTGCACTCATATTTCTTTGTATTGGTGACACATACAAGTGTAAAAATAATACATTTTCATATTGAGTGTGAGAAATCAGCTGCGTTCGGCAAATTTACTGTACCCCAGGTTGGCAGGAGTTGCATTTAAGTATAAGCTAAGGCCATTAGACGATAATCCTATTGAACACACTGGCTTACAATATGCTAGACAGCGCTCAAACACGAAGCGCCGTCTCTATTTTTGTCATCTGTCTCTCTCTCTCGCCACCTCTCTGAAGGTTAACAGCCATCACAAAGGCAAACAAGGTCTGCCTCGCCCTGTGCAGATACTGGGTGAGTGTTTATCTCTCACATCTGTAGTTCAAGGTTAAAAAAAAACAAAAAACAGCCACGATAAGAAACGCAAGCACAGTCATCTTTGCCCTTAGGAATGAGTCACTCTGCATTTGCCCTTATGACCTGCAGCAGAAGCCAACCCATTTCTTAGAAGGTCCTTTACAGGAGGTCAGGTACAGTCATCAAGACCCCTTTCATTGGATTCCCAGTGGGTCCAAGGACAGCTGATTAGGAAGGGCAGGGAACGCAATGATTAGAGGAGCTTCGGTTCTCTCTACGATTGTCCATCACAGTCGCCCAGTGGCTATGCAGATATGGTGACGCATGCAAATGTACACACACCGAGCCTCAAAGACAGCGGTGTACAATAGCCATGGAGTAATATTTGCCCGAGCGGGCCTCCGGTGGCTCGTTAAAAGGATAAATTAACAGTCAGGAGACAATCGGCCCTGAACCTGCATCATAAAAAGGGCCATTTCGCCACATGTTGCCTGTTAGTCAATATGACTCCCATAGCTTTGCTGCGGATGCAACCTTTTATGTCTCCCGATCAATTCACTACATTTAACAACACTGGCTAATGGAAAGAAATATATGATCTCATTGAAAATCTGTCTAACCTAATGCCATTGCACTCTGGAGGTGGGGCTCTTGTTACATCTCACCATTTACTAAAGCGGGAGAGGCAGCTGGGGTGTCTGTGCAGTGGAGTGAACATGGCCACTCCAGGTGGATTAGTCACTCCTGGCATGTCAGGGCACACCGGGCTGGAGTAGAGTAAGTGGGGTGTCTGACACATCAGGAGCGGTAAAATACTACTTTGATCTCGGTAGCCCTGACCTCAACACCGCCCTGGATAAATCATAAACTCCCCATAAACACTGGAGAGAAAGGGAGAGAAGGATGCGGAGAGAGAGGAGGAGAGACGGAAGCATGATGGAGAGATGGAGGTGGGAGGGAGAGAGGAATCGCCACGTCATAAACGATAAGTGGTGGCAATCTGTTGGTCCCGGCTAAGCGAGCGACTTCACGGCTCATTACCAATCAAGCTCCTCCTGTCAGGAGCGCTCTGAATAGACGAGGATGAGGAGGAAGAGAAAAGAAGAGACGTGCTCCTTTCTAGTCCTCCTGCCTCCTGAATCCCTCTCCCCATCCTTTGACCCTGTCAGATCAGCTACACCTCATTCCCTCATCTCTTGTTTACCGTCTCTTACCTCCAGGCACAGTGCAAAAGTTTGCTCGTGAACACCTTGTTAGGAACTTGGTTCAAACTCTCAGCAAACTTACTTTGTTAAAACCTAACTGCTTTTCTATTTGCTCGCCACACAAAGACCTCATGTTCTTTAAATTTTTTGCTAAGTTCAAATTGAGAGTGTCTACTGCCTGTGATAGTTGGCAGAGTTGTTTTGAGAAGAAGGCAGAGAGAGCAGAGCGAAGTCACCAGCAGACATAAGCAAATACATTTTTACTGTCTCGAAATTACCTGATGGTTACTGTCTATACTTTCAAACTGACTCATACCGCTGTCCTCCACTTCCCACCAGGTGTCACAGCTCAACACGTTGGCAAAACAAAAAGTTTCCCACAGAAGTAAAGAGATTTTCAGGCATCAGGTAACTGCTTGACAACTTATTCCACGGCTACTGTTTTAGTGAAGATAACAGCGAATATGCAAGTGAGATGCCTCCTCTAAGCTTGTAATCACTTTTCCATGAACCTACTCCCACATTACATTGTTTCTCTTTAGCCTGTCTGTCAGTCAATAGGCAAGGTCCCAGTGATAGCGAGAGCACGAGCAGAAGCGGTGGGAGGCATGTTGTTCTTTTCTCCGTTTGATTTTTAGTTCTTAGGGACCACATAACAACAACAACAACAACAATCCTTTTACAACATCCCACCACACCCTCTTTTTCATTCTGTCCACTGTGATTAATGATAGACTATAGTTAAAATGGATTTTTTTTGTTTTTCAAAAATAAAAGTGGTATGATTTTCTTTTCACCATCAAACAGGGACAAGACCCCACCGCCACAAAATCCTCAGGAGGAATTCTCCAGCTCGCCTTTTTGCCTCCTCCTCCTCCCCTTCCTCCAATTCCTCCTCCTCTATACGTAAACTGCAGTCCGTGAGATGACCGAGCCATCACGCTGGGACTCCATGTCATCATCGTATTCTCCAATCATCTCCTGATCGCGAATTGAGCGAGGCAAATGGATGGGGCCACCAGGATTGTAGTGATCATAGTTCTCTGCTTCGTCAAGCTCGTCAAACTTCCTCTTCTCCGCGTCGTCCAACTCGTTGCTTAGCAGGATGTCTTGGGCAGTGGGTGTGGTGCTAACCACTTCAGGGTGGCCTCCCATGGTAATCAGCTGGTGGTTGTTTTTCTCTCCAAGGGCCTGAATGGGGGAGCTCTCGCTGTAAACGTAGATGGGGCCGTTGTTGTTGCCGCCGCCGTTTCCCGCACCTCCATTTGTGCCGTTCTTGCTCGCTTTCTTGCCGCCCCCGAATATGCGCGTCTTCATGTCACTGCCGCCATTGGCGCGGTAACCCTGCTGCTGCCTGCGCCTACGGGTGACGAGCACGGCGATGAGAGCGGCAACCAAAAGGAGGGCCAGCAGGGAGCCAATCACAGCTCCCGCCACCACGCCAGCATTGGATGGGTTCTTTGGGGGCTCTGTAGGAGGGAGGCAGGGAGGGAGAAAAACAGGGAAGAAAAAGGATATGGTTGAGAAAGGGTAGAAAGAAAAAAAAAGAAAGAAAAGAAAAAGGTTCGACCAGTGGAGAGGAAGACAAAAAAATTAAGACAGCCAAAAAAAAGTTTTGGTTTTTTTTGTTTGGTTTTTTAAAAAAAAGAGCAAGATGGCAAGAAAAAGGTTGGATGATGTCAGTGGTGCTGGTCTGAAATGTATGCAGTCAAGTGTGTAAGAGTGCTGAGGTGTCAGTACAGTCAAGTGTGTGTGTGCGCGCGTGTGTGCACGACGAGCATCCTTCTACTTTGACATTTCCTCCTCTCCCTCAAAGCTGCTGCTGTCCCCATTCCCACAGCTACGTCACAACAACGTCTCAACCACCCTCCCCCCTGTGTTGCCCTTCGATAGCCAGGGTCTGTCCACAGACCACCATCAAAAGGCAAGGCAGGGGGTTAAAAAAAAAAAAGTGCAACACACACACGCACACACACTTTTATTAAAGAGCATGGATCAGTGTGTGCAGAGCAGAACAGGTGGAGGCCGTGCAGAGGAGGATAATGATGAATGAGGAGGAAGGAAGGGTGGAAATTAGATGAGGAGGAGGAGAAGGTGGTGGAGGAGGAGAAGGTGGTGCTGGAGGAGGAGGCGGCGGATTGAGTGAGTGACAAAGCGACACAGCGGAATGACAAGTCTTCCTGGAAGCAGTGTATGAGCGCGGGCACAGACTGCTGCCCCTCTCCACTTCTGTACGCCACAGGCACTGGTTGAGTGCGCATCAGTCTTATATGTGGGTCCATTTTTCCTCTGGCATTACACATACACAAGAAAAATAAGTCACTTTAGTTCATTTTAATATTGACAAAGGCTTTGTTAGAGTGCAAACTAGCTCAGGAGGCTATGACTGAAACTAGGGCTCTGCAATCAAACACACAGCATCCCTGTTTGTGCGTCTTTGTACAAAAAACTCCAGGGATAAGCAGTGCTGTCTAAATCAGGGTTGTAAAGAGGTCCCATGTGACTTGTCAGTACTCTTTTTCTGAACTTGTACTTTCTCCTCCCCTGATATTCCCCTTCAGTAATACTAGTGCTGTATTTTAAAGCAGGTATTTCAACGGCAACAAATTCAATTGCTTCTGCATGAAAGTCAGCTAACAGTTCAGACTGGAGCTGTGTATTAAATGAAATGCTTCCATTTGTCGTGTCAATAAAAATGCACGAGTCGGTGCCGATATCAAAGCTATTCTAATGTTCCAGTTCAGACTTCAGACAGTTATAAAGGAACGTGACTAAATGAAAACATTAAATTCAGGAAGTTCTAAAATCTTTTAGCTGATTGTGTCACGGGCACAGACTAGCCTAGACTAGTAACACTATTAACACAAGCAGGATGTTGCTGCTTTGTACGGGCTTCGGGGGTCATGAGTTCAGGGCTCTAAGTGCTTTCAGGGACTCTGACAACTCCCCACAAACACAACCTGTGACCGTTTTCCCATGTGCTGCAGTGTCATCTCTGACTCAGTGGGCAGCGAGAATAAAACCAGAATAATGTTTGCATTCGCTGTACGCCAAAGCTTTGGATAGAAGTGTTCTACAAACGTTAAAGGGAATATGCCGACGACATAACGAGTGGTATAACTCAGACAGGAATAACAAATTAGAAAGACAGCTTAGACTTTATTCCGTAAGCTGTTCCTGCAGCATGCCTTCTTGGAAGATATAAAAGTAAGCCTGCTTGAAGTAGGAACGGAAAATGATGTCTCAATATACATTATTCCTACTTTTACAGGGTTCAAAGCATTCACGTTCATGTCTCCGATTTCTTATTTATTGTACTCATTACTTCGTGATGCCTCAGAATGAAATTAAAGGCTTTCATGTTGCTCTTTCTGCAACAATGCGCTTTGTTGAAACATGATGTAATGGAATATAGGCTGTTTGTTATCTGTCACTCCAAAGTGCTACCGCTCCACTCAGGTTTGAGCGCATTAACTACAGAATAAAACCAAATAAATTGTGGTGAGAAAATGTATTTTTTAATTTCAGACTCTGGCAGAAAGTGATCAAGAGCCCTCGGTTAAGCCGAACATCCTCTCTTACCGCTCTTGCTTTCCTTTCCACACTCTGCACTTTCACCAGCCGCGGCAGAGGATTAACCGGTAGACGCTGCCGTTGAAATCCCTGCCTAAATTCGAAAGTAGCAAATCAGCTCGATTCTTATTGTCGGTTCCATTTGAAATCCAACAGAAGCCGGCCTCTCTTGTTAACTGTACAGAGAGCTGACAGTATTACTCGTGTAACACTGATTCGTGTCAAAAGAGAGAATGGTAGTCTACTGCTGTCTACACCTGTGCTTCACTCTTTTCTTCCTCTCCTCAGTTCTGCTACCATTTTCTCCATCTCTGCCTCCACTTCACTAGCTGTCTCCTGCACACGCTCCTTCAGCCCTCCAAATCCATTTTCCCTGTCCAATTTGCGTTTGTATTTCTGTCATGTGTTACTTCTCTGTGCTCTCCTCCTCTGTGTTTCACTTTCAACACATGCCTAGGGAAAGAATTAATAATGCGGGTACATTTTTCTTTCCTTTAGTACATCTTCTCACACTACTTTCCCCTTGCACACAGATCCCCCCCCCCAAGCTGTGCTAAACATTCCCCTTCACACACACATGAGAGTGAGAGCTAGCCCTCGGTGTCCACTTGTAACAGGAACACAAGAAATGCATTATCACCTCCGACTCTGTGGAGCTCCACCACATGCTACGTGGTGAAAATCTCAGTGCCAAGTTTGGGCCCGATGCTGCCACACACTGCTGTCACATCAAAGGGAATTACGCTGAAAATCAAATGCAAATTCTCTCTGAATTCTACTCATCTAATTATATTTAATGCGTAACTCAAGTCAGTTCTTAAGAGTATTTTTTTTTCAAAGTCTGCGCTGGTAAATCCTTTTGTGGATAATACATCATGTTTTATTCTACCCTTCTGGAGACAACATTTAAAAGATTCACAAAAAGAGATGTAAAGGAGCCATCACAGACTCCAAGTGCAGACTCAGTCACAACCTAACAAAGCACCAGTGGAATTTGAGTGAGTGACGAGAGGACACCTCAAAGACATGCTGACGAATGAACCAGATGAAAAACTGCAATATGCATGCTGTGTAGATAATGTGGGGAGAAAACCAAACATGCAGTATGACCCCCCCCCCCCCAAAAAAACCCCCCAAAAAAACCAAAAAAAACCCCCCCCCAAAAAAACAAAAACAACAACAACATAAAACTCACACACACAGAGACACACAACATACTGTGGAAGCCAAAAAAACAGCATGGTCCTTATGAAGTCATGTCCAACACAACTGTACGCTCCAAGTGACCGCGAGTAATGAGAGAGATGGAGCAGAAGTAACATTTGCTGCAGCCGTCCAAAAAACATGCATGGTCTCATTCACATACATACACACGTGCTCCATGGTCATCACTGCTCGGATGTTGTGCTGGGCTGCACCTAGAGCATCCCTTAGTAGTATTCTCTGTCAGTATGTTAAGTTATTGAACACAGCTGAGTGTGTCTGTGCGAGTGTGTGTCTCCAGAAATGTGTGTTTGTGTGTGCTAATTAGGGGTGGGAAGGGGGCCAGTTGCAGGCTGGAGGGAGACTTGGCTCCATCAGACCTGTTCTCTGGCTGTTTTCGCATGGCCGGAGACACACAACGACAGACGCAGACAGATACAGGCGTACACACACAGACACACTCACACACTCTACCCCACGGAGGAAAATAGCCAAGCCCCTTGCCCTTGAACTGTCTCCTTGGATGAGTCTGAAAATGGGAAAAATGCACCGAATTGGGAGGAAATCTCTTTTCCGTTTAACTGAAGAGCCCTTCAGACCATGTGGGGGATTCAATCTAGAGCATTTAACTTTTTTGAGGTTCAGCTGAGCCACCCCTTTAAGGAATGATGAGGGAAAAAACCAAGAAAAAAAATGGATGGAATCTGGGTTAGCCACACAAGAACCCCCCTTGAGAGGAGCCCAGAACGGAGGGATGGAGGGAGGGATGGAGACTACTAAGCTGTGATTAAGGAAGAGCTACTGGTATTTAAGAGTTAAGCTTAGAGAGAGAAAGATAGCACAAGCATGAGATGGAGAGAAGGAAAATGCTGGGGGCAGGAGTCTCTTTTCTGAGCAAGAAGATCAGCGGCAGACTTGCGGAGGCTGAAAGACAACCTGAGAGAGATAAGGAGGATGAGGAGAGAGCATATGCTAACTGAGTGGATGAGAGATGCAATGAAAGAGCAAACTGCAGTGAAATAGATGGCATCGGAGAGATAAATCGAAAGAAATGCAAGAAGAGAGAAGGCTAGGATGTGTTTGCGTGCCTGTGTGACTAAGCAGCAGGATCGAAGATGAGAGGAGGAGAGGCAAGGAGAAGAGAGGACATCCATCCCTCTTGCTGCCTCCATGTGCACAGGACAAGACCGAGGGCAGAAGGCGCGAGTAAGCACACAGACACTAGTGTGTAAATTTGTGTGTGTCATGCAGCTGTGGGGTAAAGGGGAGTGGGGGGACCTGCTATGTAGCAGGTGCTGGCCATTTCACGCCTGTCGGCCCCTCTTAGCCCCGTTTGTCTACACACGTTCACATTAGCATCCACAGGTCTGAACTGCAATCCCATCTGAAGGCATTACACATCTTTCTTAGACTCCTTAATTTCTCTTTAATAGTACCGACCGTCTTTCTTTATGTGCACTTCTCTCCCTTTTTGCTATCTAGAAACTTCTTTTCCTTTGACACTCGCTTGTTGGTTTAGTCACCTATTAAGTGTTGGCAATTTTAGCTCGCATCTTATCCTCCTTCTGTGCCAATGAGTAAGAGAAGAGTAGGATGGAAGGAGGAGGTGGTCGGTAGCAAGAGAATAAGACCAACTGTGGGAAGTTCAACGCGGGTAAGGAACAAGCAGACCCGAAAGAAAATGAAAGAAGAGAAAGAGGGAAGTGGGATGAAGAATGGGGGAGGAGTGAAAATGTAGGATAAAAGACAGAGCAGGAGAGGAACGGATGGTGGAATTGAGAAGAGAAGCAGCCAGGAGCTGAAGCAGCAAAGGGTGACTGATCCGCTCTGAGAGGCTTGGAGACGGACAGAAACACACGCTACGCTGAGAGATAGCGGAGGCCAATAGTGGTGGAGATAGGATGCAGCAGCACATGATTCCCATGAGTTTTAAATGCTGTCAGCATCGCTTTCTCTCTCTCCATTCCTCGTGCCCTTACTCTCTGCTTCTTTGACTGAGGATTGCATGCTGGCACTGATTTATCTTGGTGTGGCATGTTCCCCATCTTTGTAGTCTAAAAGCAGCAGCCTCTTTCTCCCTCTGCTCGCTGGATCTTTGTATCTCACTTGCTTGTGTCTTGTAATACACAGCAGGAGTTAGTGACATCCTTTTGTGCTACAGAAGCCATTTACACTACCTACTGTATGCAGCAGTACAGAATGGCCCCAGAGGAGTGGTGGTGACGCATGCTGTGGCACCATAAGGAGCCAAGGGACTTGACGAAAGATGTAGGGGGGAGTGAGAGAGAAACAAAAATGAAATCGGGAGAGACGGAGCAAGAGGACTAGAAGAAGCAAAAAAAAAAAAAAAAAAAAAAAATGTTGAAATGAGGCCATGGAGGAGCTGGGTGGCTCTTAAGATGTAGTCACTCTCTGCCCATCATGGAAAAGGTTTACCCCGATGTCAGCAGAAAATCACTTCCGGCTAAGTGCAGGCTGAAGAGTGAAGGAGGATGTATTTTGTATGAGGTGAAATACAGAAGTGAACACTGTTGAAAGGGGTGGCTAAAACTCTCAAACAGCAGCAATTGGACTGTATGACCTGCTCTGGAAGGTTCTCTCCAAGTGCTTACACCTGAATACATGCATGCATTTCACAACCTGCAAACATGTACCCACACACACCCAAAGTATTTTAGTTCATGCATCACTGCAGCCATACTGCAGACTATTCTAAAATCCACTATATTACAAAGTGAACCGTATCATTTTGAGCCAAATGTGTCACTTTATGTGTTGCTTGCTTTGCGTTAGTGTTTCCTGTTGTTACTGATGGCACAGAGTATGGCTGAGAAGCAAAAAAGAAAGAATAAGAAAAAGTAGAAGTGAAAATATCTATGGGAACCGTCTAGTTCGTGTGCAGCTCTCACAATATTGAACTACCATGAAAAACCTTCAGGGGAAAAAAAAATAAAATAAAAAAATGCAAATGCCAAAAGATATACTAAGCAGCTGACAGACCTTGGGTATTGATAAAGCATGGAAACTTTGATAATAGAGTTTATTAAGCGCATGCAAAGATACACAAAAAACTAACACGCACTCTTAAAAGCAGAGAGGGGAAGGGTTTTATGACGTTGAAGAACAACAACAAGAAAGAAAAAAGAAAAAAAAAAAAACACATAAAAGGAATGCACATGCAAGCTCTGATCGCTCAGATTCCCTCCCACACACACACGCGCACTCACTCACACAGACACACACCATGGACTGAGCAGCTGGACCCCTTAGCCCTACACTAAACACCCAAGTTAGCCCTCAGCACAGAAAATGTGTCCGTTTGTGTGTGTGAATATGTGACATGTGAGGTGCATGTAAGGTGCATCCAAGGTGCATCCCTAGGGAAGACATGAGAGCAGAGGACACCAGGAAATGTGTAGCCTGTGTGATAAAAGTGCACTTTGTTCCAGTTCGCGGTTCAGATATAAATGTTTTTATGTACAAGCTAAGGGAAACGTTTACATGATGAATGAGACCCAAGTGAGTCCCAAGAGTGGGCTTTCTCACTTTACTTATGAAATGTTCACTGCTTTATTGATGCCTTTACTGTGTACAATTTATCAGCGTGCTGGGGCATTTGCAAGTTGCGCAAATTACCCTTCGTATTGGTTTTAATCCATTTAGAGCCACAGAAGGGTTGACTTGCAGTGACAGGAACAATCATAATGTTAATTCATTATGTCACAGGGAAGTGCACAAATGAGATTGTTTCCACTGAGAAACATCACACGATGCTGAAATATGATATTTAAAATGTTATCTAACTGAAATTGTAAAGGCCACTTAAGCAGGTGCCTAATTTTAGCATGCTGCGCTGATCTGTGACACTTAAACTCACCTCTGACCAGGATCCCAAACTGTTCTTTGGTCGTCCCGATTTGGTTGTTGACCTCACAGAAAAAAGTGGTGTTGACAGACTCGTCCACATTCTGTACCTTGAGCACATTTTCACTGACCTGCACTGCAGGTGGAAACTCTCCTGTCGTCCTAGAGGGACAAAAGTGCATATCGGTATGAGAAAGAAGAGAACAGGAAAAGAAAAATAGGACATTTGACACTGGGGACAGAGAGTCGGACATTTACAGAAACGTGCTGCGTTGTACTGTTTCGTCATATTAAGCTAATCTTGATCAGCAGCACAAAACCAATCAGTTTGCCACCCTTCCCTAAAAGGCAATCCATTATAACACACTGCTGGAGATACAATGGGGACAGCAGGAAAATCAGTGTTGCTGGATCCAATCCCAAAATCTCATTTCTTCTATTTTAAACTTCCAGACTTTTTTTTCCCCCAGATTTTGTCACAGTTATGTTAATAGCTGATAATACAGAAAATGGAGACAGACGCACACTGTGTTTCTCATTATGCAAGGGTTAAATCTCAAGTCACAGAGTCCATTATGACAAATTATTCAACTATCTCCATAATCAGAGCACAGTTCTGTAGTTGCAATAATAAAAGCGCTAATTATAGCTCTGTGAGGACTGTGAAGCTGGTGGTGAAGGGTAAGAAAGGGAAAATGTGACTAAAGAAAAATGGGAGAGACGGACAAAGAGATAAGACAATATAGATTTAAGGATGTGCCAATACTCACGACTTCCACTGGATAGTGGTTGGAGGGGGGTTTGCATTAGCCTTGCAGGTGAGCGCCACATTTGTGCGGCCGATGTACCAGTTGTTGTCATAACCTTCTATGGTTACCTGGGGAGCAACTGGGGGAAGAAAGAATGAATGGGAGGAGGAAATTTAATTTATTAATTTAAAAATAAAGAAAAACCCAATACAATGAGCTCAATTAATCGGGTTAGAATAATTGCTGATGGATGTATGTGCACTTGTGAGAGGTCTTACACTGAACTGCTAAATTCATCTTGAAGCTCTCTGGTTTGACCAGGGTCCTGTGTGATACGACACAGGTAATTTCTTTCCCGTTGTCGTTTGGCATTGGGACCATGATGTACTCGCTGATCACCGTCAACGTGTTGTCAGTCCCCGGCTGCTGCTTCGTTGTGTAATTGCCATTGGCTGTAGTCACCCAGGAGATCTCGGCAGCGGGTTGGCCATTTGCTGACTTACAGCTTGCCACAGTGATTGGCTTAGCGCCAGCAACCACTGTTACAGGGGAGGCCGAGTTCTCGGGTTTAGCTGATGGATGGATGAACGACATGACGCAAGGGTGGAGAGTGGAGACAGGGGGAGACACAGAGTGGCAGAGAGAAGATTAAAGGATGTAGAGATAGATAAAATGGAAATAACACAGCTGAGGGAAAAGATATTGTGCACATTTATAAACAATCTGAGACACCAGCCGGGCAAAAGCAAATCTAAAACCCGATCTGAATGCGTCCTCTGTTGCCCTGCTCAGCCTCTCTCAGCACAGTAAACATTGAAGTAGGATCAAATATCTATTATGTTTATTTTATGACAGGATATATATTCTTACCACGGAGGAGTTGTCAGTGCACTTTGCTTTTTTCAAGCTTTTTGGAAATTAGTTTCTAAATGTATAACTTGTTTGAGAAATTTTACCAGCTCTGAGTAACTCAATACATGAAATTAGAGCTACGAGAATGTCATTTTCAACTCTTCACACATTTAAAATCAACGTGACCACATGGAATTGCCTGTTGTTGCCAATTCTCTACCACAGAATCATGTATACCTGCAGACAAACACAATAAATAACTATGTTGCTTATTTATCATTTGTTTTGTCCATAATACAGGTATGGGCAGAACTCCTTTGTTTTGTGAACATGTGTAAAGTGGCACTAAGGGGTCAAACGGACTGCAGCTTAAGAAAACACCAGAAATGATGCAAAAGTAAACAAAATTATAAAAAAAAAAAAATTTAAAAAAATTTAAAAATCTCACAAAACATAAAGCAAGTGTTTCGGGGGGAGGGGGGTTCATGACGGACCAACTGCGGGAGTGACATAAATCAAAACATGCAAAGGATTTTTCTGAGACACCCTGAAAAGAAGCGAAGTATTCATCGGTGATGTGACGGACAAAAGGATGGAAGGTAACGTGTTTTAATTATACTGAGTCATTTAATACTGTACATATGTTTGCTATTAGCGGTTTACTGTTAGCATGTTACTTCTGCAGCTATTCCATCACGTTCCATGTTTTTATTCAAATTCCATTGTGTTTTGTAGCTTGTGCATGTTTCCATTTGCGTTTTTTTTAAGTTGCATGTGGCCCATCATGCATGTGGGCATATAAGGAAGTTAGATTTGTAGTAGCGCTTATGGATATTTTCTAAAATGCAAACGTTCTGGCGACCAGCCCATGCCATACCTTGCCCTACTACATCTGGAAAATGCTCCAGACCACCCCCCATTACCCTGAAGTACACTGAAAATGGATGGATGGATGTTCTATCATACTTTACTGTTTTATGGTTTTTCCATTATGCTTACAGATAAGTTTCTCCTTTGCTTTCTTAATCTCCAAGCTTTTATAACAAAGCTGTGACACCATGAGTGCAATGGGTTCCCACACTGATTACAAGTCATGTTAACATATAGCCACATTAAAAGCAATTCTCTCGTCATTGTTAAAAACAAAAGCTATCTCATGATATACATCAAGATTGATTCACTGCTCAGGACCGTACTGAGATCAATTCCTTTCATCAAGGAAGCCAATCTCATTTCTAATAGTACTACTACTACTACTACTACATTAATCTAAGTCAGGTTTACTTCTTTTAAACAATTTATCCCACTTTTCTGTATAAATGTCTTGCTGTATAGCCTTTTGTTAAGTCTCACAGGGGAAAAATAGAAAGCATCACCAGCACCGATCCTCCAAGCATCAGTGATAACAGTGAGGTGAGGTATCTGTGTCGAGCCCAAAGGATACTAAATGAGAACACGTACCCCAGCCACAGCCTGTTCACCCTGCTTTCCATCTGGCAAGCGATACAGACACATTTGTTTCCTGTTTCTTTCCTTAGGCTGCAAGACTAAATTCTGAATTCATCCTCTGCACTTCAAGTCAAATAATAGACTTTATTTTTATGACTTACGGTCATAAGAACATTGAATTTTGCTCTAGTAGTCGTGCAATAAGAATGAATTCTAAATTTAAGCACAAATTCCTCCCTACTGAGAAGACATTAAGATCTTTTATTTGTATTAAGATAAATGTGTTTACTTTTAGTCTGCTCACACTAGTTTTGAGAAAAGTTTTTTTTAAGACTAGAAATGTGGCTTTTCTAAAAGCTTGATTTAGAAATTGTCGAATTGAAACTCTTCTGCTGACAGATCATTTCGTTTACTTTAAGTAATCTTTTCCCCATTTTATTCCTTTTTTTGGTTATTGATAGCTTGAGTTTTTTGGAGTGTGTACACTCAATCTTTTGCTCCCAAGAGTTAACATTGATAAACAATTACCAGCACCAGTGCAAACACATCCAAACCCTAAATCTACTGTCACTCTCCCTCCAAACCTTAAATCCATCTGTCCCCTCTCTATTCCTATCACACACCACTGATGCACAATTTCCCTGACTGGCCAAATGCATTTCCATATACAATTTCTACATCACTACATGATCCGAGTTATCCTCACCTCCATCTTCTCTACCCTCTTCTTAATTGCCCTCTCTGATACTAGTGTGGGATCAGAGGAAAGCAGGCAGGACAAGAGCTGACAGCAGGCATGACAAGTAGCTAGATCAATATACTGCCTAGGGGGAAACATGGGGGCATGATGCTTTGGAGAGAGGGGAGCAGGGCAGAGGCACTGGTGCTGGGCCAAAGTTAGACCAATGGTTCCATTGCATTAACAAAACACAATTGATCTGACAATACCACTTATAATAGCAATTAAGCCCAGCTGCATATGCTTTTAACCTATATACTACCTTTGGGGGAAGGTTTGAGCTGGAGGAAAGCAGACAGAGTAAGAGGGAAGATCCTTTGCATTCATACAGTTTGCAAGTTACATATGCATGTAGGGCTGTGCGATATGACCAAAATCTCATATCCCGATATAAGAATTCTATCGTCCAATAACGATATAAATCACAAAAATGTAACATTTTCTGTAAATTCTGTGAATCTCGACTTGCGGGAAGTATTTCCAGCTGTGCGTCATGTAGCTGGAGTCCAGTGTTTTAACCGATCTATGAAACGATACATTTTTTACGGAGCCCCCCAGTACGGAGCCCCCCAGGGGACATGGGAGAAAAAAAAAATTAGGGAGGAAAAAAAAAAAAATTAGGGAGGAAAAAAAAAATTAGGGAGGAAAAAAAAAATTAAGACGGACTTTTGCGAGCGCTCGCAAAAGTATTGCGAGATCTCGCAATAAGTATTGCAAGCGCTCGCAAAAGTATTGCGAGATCTCGCAAAAGTTTTAGCCGCATTCTTCGGAGGCCGCCAGCTCGAAGCCGACCGGGAGGTCGAGGCACGATGTGCCGGGAAAGCGGTGTTCCTCCCGGCTGTAGTAGGTCTCGACTTCCCGTTAGCTTCGAGCTAGTGGCCGCCAGCTCAAAGCCGACCGGGAGGTCGAGGCACGATGTGCCGGGAAAGCGGTGTTCCTCCCGGCTGTAGTAGGTCTCGACCGCCCGTTAGCTTCGAGCTAGTGGCCGCCAGCTCGAAGCCGACCGGGAGGTCGAGGCACGATGTGCCGGGAAAGCCGTGTTCCTCCCGGCTGTAGTAGGTCTCGACCTCCCGTTAGCTTCGAGCTAGTGGGTGTCAGATCTCCAAAAACGTCGGAGCTCTTTTGCAAATATGTGATGTCTTGTAAACCGAGCAGGTATCTGACGTTTACACAACTACATTCACGCCTCAAAATATCTTAAAAGTGTATTTTGTGACCCAGAAAGAGTAATATTACAACTAAGTAGCTGCCGCCATTGTTGGAGTTTTGCGAGATCTCGCAATACTTATTGCGAGCGCTCGCAATAAGTATTGCGAGCGCTCGCAAAAGTCGCCATTTTTTGCGAGATCTCGCAAAAGTCCGTCTTAATTTTTTTTTTTCTCCCTAATTTTTTTTTTCCTCCCTAATTTTTTTTTTTCCTCCCTAATTTTTTTTTCTCCCATGTCCCCTGGGGGGCTCCGTAACAGCCTGTTCTAACGTTTGAGTCTAAGGTTTATTTTTTAGCACCTGGCGGCTCTTTTTTACTTCTCATCCGTAAATTATCTGCTCTGTCACGTGATTCAGTTTATTTTGAAAAGTCTCAACAGGATCTTGAGTTGTATTGTGAAAGGTTTATGTGGAACATAAACAAGCGGATGGTTTTACCGTCGTTGTTGCTAACCACAACGCATAAAAACAGGCGCTTGTCCGTCTGTAGTGTGGTTATATAAAATATAAGAGAAAGAGAGAACTTTAAGAAAATAATATAGCCACTACAGTGACCATCAAAACGATGAAAAAAATATTGCCGTAAAGAGTTTATTTTGCGACAGCACGAAACAAACGATAGCGTAAAATGAAACGATAGACGTTTTTATATCGTCATCTGATATATATCGTTATATCGAACAGCCATATATACATGGGTTCCCTACAAACAGATGAGCGACAAATTTAAGGAAAAGAAAAACACACTGGCTTTAATTTGCCTTGCAAAGACACAATGAGTCTCTTGAAACTTTGGCAAAACATGAAAGTAGGTTTTTGGTTGGAAAAGCCAATTTAACTGACAGTGAAACACAGTTGGGCAATTCCACTTTTTATAAATGGCTTGACTACTCAATTAATTCATGTTGTGAAAGTCTGTGAAAAAACCTCAAGCTTCAAATCTTTCAGAGGAAATGGTGCTGGGTTCCTGTGCACCTGACTAAAAGCCGCTGGGGGGAGGTTTGAAAAATGCTTGTTGTTGAGTGGTATCCTCGTGTAATACATTTAACAGGAAACATTCAAGTCCTTGGGAGACAAAAAGCTGCAATGGCTTTGAACCCAGGAGTGCATGTTGGCAAACAGCAACGAATGCAACAAGCTGGGAAGTTACCCCTTGACAAATAGAGCTGTAAAAGCCACGACTCAGTGTGATGCACAACACACAGGGTTCAGGATCTCTTAAAAATGAGTTTGTAGGGTTTCAGGAAGTCAATCCCAGAGTAGGGTAGCGCTGGTGTTGCAGATGTTTAACACTCGTGTTCACGCTAGAAGCTTTTTAGGTTCAGTAGTGCAAGAAATGTAACTAAAGATTTAAAAAAAAAAAAAAAAGCAAAAAAAAAAATCTTGGCTAAAGAAATCATTTTTGTAGTTTTGCCTCCGTGCACCACAGAGAGGTTTTAAAAATCAAACAATCAAGATGTGATTGAAGTGCAGACTTTCAGCTTTAATTCAAGGCGTTTCACAAAAGTATTGCAATAACTGTTTATGAACTAAAGACACTGTTATGCCCAGCCCCCATTTTCAGAGGATGAAAAAATAAATAATAGGACATTTTAAACATGGGGATTGCTTCATAATATGATGAAAATCTTTCGTAGTCAATGACTGCCCCAGGTCTAGCGCTCATTAGAGTTTTATACTTAACTAAAAAGCTGCTCTGTTGGGTGAGCTCAGGTGACTGACTTAGCTATTGAAGAAAATCCCATTTCCTTGCCTTGAGAAACTCTTAGGTTGCTTTTACAGTACGCTTTGGGGCATTATCCATTTGGATTGTGAAGCGCTGTCTGATCAGTTTTGCAGCGTTTGGATGAATATGAGCAGAGAGTATAGCCCCGTACTCTTCACAGTTTCTGCCATAATATTGTCTCCACTATGTTGAACAGATAATATGGTATCAGATCACAAGTTGTTTCTCTCCTCCTCTGCACTTTTCTCTTCCTATCATTTTAGCACAATTTCATCTTGGTTTTATTCTCACAAATAATCTTTTCAGGTCTGTGTTGGCTCTTTTTCTGACCAAGTCTAATCTGTTCTTCTTGTCTAAAGTGTAACCAGTGGTTTGCCCATTTCTGTAAACTCAGTATTTTCATTTATAAAGAGATTTTTGCGCTTCACAGCATGCACACACAAAAAGACAATGATATACCAACCTGCTTTAGAATGTTCTTGGTGAAATGTCGTGTTGTGTTTAAGGTCTTTGGGCCCTTTTCATTTTCAGAGCTGGCCAGTGAACCCATTCTTGTTAAGAATGTACCAGAGATGTGATTTGACCACTTCTAAAGTTTTAAAAATGTCTGTTACTCTTACTAGTTTTATTAGAGGTGGTTGGGGGTGAAAGTCTGCACTTTAACAACATGTTGGTTATTCGATTAAAATACTGTGGTGGTGTACACAGGCAAAACTACAGTACAAGAAAATTAGAGACCAAACTGTACCTGGACACTTGGCTAGGTAAAATTATAATTGCAATAACAATAATCATCTTCTGGCACATCAAATACCATTCTTTTTTTTTTTTTATAAATTTTAAATAAAATTGGCATTCTTCAAGAAATTACCTGAAATTCCAACTGGATGTTATTCATGAAGTCTTAAGAGTAAAGATGAAAGCATGAGATGGGAAAAATCCCTCTTTCGTATTAAATTCTAACAAATCTGTTTGCTTCACAAACCACATGTCCAATTTTTTAAGTGGTTCAGAGGTTCAGCTTCTTGGAGATAAAGCATTCATGCCTCTGTGCCATTAAGCACCGAGGCTTTTTCCTTGATTCATCACATCTTTTCTTAAGCTTAGTGCGTAGAGTACATTAGTGACCTACCTAGCATGACCAGCTGGGTGGTGCCACGGACATTTCCGCCAGGGTAGGTAGCAAATTCGCAGGCATACTTCCCCTCATCAGTCATCCTAACATCAGTAATCTGGATAGAAGGGCTGTCCACCTTTGGAGGACTGGGCACGAAGCTGACTCTGCCTTTCACAGGTGAGTTAGGATAGCTGGGCTCATTCCCGGGGAGAAACACAGCTATGTTGACTGGGTCTTGGGTTGGCTCTGGCACGTACATCCATGTGACCTATGATGGCACACACCGAGAGGGTCAGTGGACGGGAAGCATAGAGAGACAATGAAAAACAGCAGACCTCATTCATCATGGCATTGATAAGCGACACCGCGACAGCGTTTTAAGATATCCACATTTTAATGTAAACTCCACAGGGTTGCGTACACGGCATCACAATTAAGTGGGGAGTAGGTATGAATATGGATGCGAGTTTTTCAGGAGAAGTACTCTCTCGACTGTTCTTAGCAGAACCATGCAGAGCTGTGCACTTCCAGCTTCATTGAAATGCAGCTAAGAAATGCACCCATTACCATATTCAATCCCCTAAAGCAAAATGTAGCTTAGCATTGTTTGTTTGGAGTAATAAAACATTAAGCCTAAATGTGACAAAAACCTATTGCTGGCCTCTAGATTATTTCTGTGAGCCATGATTTGTTAGATTAAGGTACAATGTGGCAAATAAACAAGGCACATAGAGCAATATTCTGATTTTTCTTGGTTAATTTTATTGAAGAGAATTGCTTTTTCCACCTCAGACACAGTTTTACGGACCCGCAGAATCAAATCGGTGAGTAAATGACTACTTTATTTACAGGAAAATTGTCATAATTTGAGTTAAATATCAAATCCACTTCAAGTCGGATACCTGCTGGCTTCAAGTGTAAAAGCAAATTGTAACTGCAGTCCCAATTTCACTGAATTGTATTGTGTCAAGTCAGCACAATGAGCTCCAGTTTTGGGATGACACAGACATTTTTATTTGAATTTCACACAACAAATCTAGTTTGCAGTTGAGAGAGTATAGTGGTGCAAAGAGGTAATCAAATACTAACCAAGGGGAAACACAGATGCATCATGGGATTGTATATCTTACCATTGAAAGCTGTACCCCAGTGGGATCAGCGAAGGCACAGCGCAGGTTGACTGTCTGGCCAGGATACGATGTCACCTCTTGGTCTACTTTTACACGCTGACCTGAAGCTCCTGAACAAAACAAAGACAGAGAAAAAAAAAAAAAAAAAAAAAAAAAAAAAAGCATTACTCTCAATGTTTCCCTTTAAACACAAACTACAGGAGAAAGCAAAGAAAAGGAACAGTCTTGGTACAAAGCAAAGATAAATGAGGACACTATGGAAGTGTGTGTGATACACAGGACAGCATTACTGAACTCAGGCAAGTAGGCCAAGAGTCTGGTACCTCTCCATGACAGTGCGTGCGTGGACAGATTGGTGGTGGAGGGAAGCGAAGTTGTGTGTTGGGGGAGAGAGAAAAAAAGAAAAGGAGGAGGAGGAAAGCCAGTTCTTTTTTACCCATAGGTCATAAATCATGTGGATGGGTTATGCTTTTCTATAGCCTGCCATTTTCTGTGCCGACACATTCCTGTGTAACAGCAAAGAGTCAAAATAAATATGCTTTTCTTAGTGCGTTTTGTCAGTGGGTGTGTGAGAAACAGAACGAGCGAAGGAGCTTTAGAACGACAATCTGTGCAAGTGTGTGTGTGTCCGTCTCTGTGTGTGTAATCCAGGTTTCTGTGAAAAATGTAATTACTTGTATGAGTAAGCGCGCATTAGTGTATGTCAGCAAGATGGCACCTGTTTTAAGTAAGAGTGGATTACCGGCGGATACACAACTTCAAATGTCTGCAGCCAGGCCTACATTTCCATACGAGTGTGTGCGCTCGCAGTGTGTTTACCGGGAAGCTACAGACACAGACACACATAGAATGAGCAAAACACAATTTCCCCTAAAGACAAACAATTACTTGAAAAACTAGTTCCACTAGTTTGTGCTGAGCTCAAGCTGTTGTGTTGAAACTAATATGATCTGCTGCACTGGCAGAACACACACACACACACACACATATATAAAGGCACCCACACACAAACGAAACCCGTACGCAAGAGATAAGAGGAAAGGGCAACGCTGTCTTTCTCGTTTGACGAGCAATAAACACCACACCTTCTCTTCTCAAGGGAGACCTGAGGTATCAATACAGAGAAAGAGAAGAGGCAGGAATGAGTGAAGAACCGAGTGGGAAAGTGGAAGAAAGCAAGCCTTTCCTAGAATAACACCAGCTCTCCCAGGACCAGCCCAATTTACAACCACAAAACAACCCCCTTGTAGCCACAGAGGAACCTCTGGACAACCACTAAACAGCCCGTGGGATCAGCAGCGAGCCTTATTGGGCTGAAAAGATGAACAAGTTGTTGTTTTTTTTAAATTTCATTTTGCTTGAAGACTCGTGCACGAGCATAGCTATGCAAGTCGACACACGGCGAGCATACACACACACACACGGGGGCATCAAATTACTGCTTTATTGTCAAGCACCTGGCCTGTAACGTTTCAAATGTCTAGAGCATTATGTAAAGATCACGCTACACTCCTTTGTCAGCCTACTTAAACAAGTCAGACTAATACAGATTAGGTTTGGGAGTGGGAGCCAGACTGTGGTTATAAAAATAATGTAGCAGAGGAGGAGAAAAGAGGATAAAAGGTTATTGAATACCTTGATTACTAGTCTTGATTGTAGTATAAGGACCAAGTGGCATGTCATAGGTCATTACAGCGTGGGATTGACAATAACGTACTCCTCATTTCGTTTATGTGCAAATTCATACACACACATATCTATTACGTCCACACAAAAATGTGGGGGCAAACTGAGCCGGGCCTGTTGCCTGTCATTTGGAGGCAATAAGAGGAGAGCCACCACGGGTCAACTCCTGCCAGAGCTCAGATGAGAGACAGGGCCAGCCTTATGAGACTTCCTACAGCCACGGGGAAATGAATATTACACACAAGACATACAGAGACTTGCACAACCTCATTCTTAGTGAGTCCCCAAAGCCCAGCCCAAAGGCTCAGACTCCGTGTCATTAGAACAGCAGACGGGGAGAAAGTAAAGTCAGTGTGTGCATGTTCATCTACACAAACAGACTTTTGGAAATGATGAGACAAGGCAGCATTAAAGAAAAAAAAAAGTAATCGAGACACATTTTGAGTGCATCAGTCACATTAAAACACAAGACAGAGAGATCGGAGGCGGAGGGGGACAAGAACAAAGGGAATTAGTGAATAGAAGACAGTTCAAGGGTAAGAGTGAGAAGAATAGGGGAGAGAAAGAGGGTTGGAGGGGAGGAGAGTAAGAACAGAAGCCTTATGTCACTGCTGCTCTACTTTACAGTAGCTCTGCTGCCTGCAGGTGACATACAAGCATCATCAAATGCACATGAACAAACGAAACACATGCACACACAAACTGCCCTCCTCAACATCCTTAAGTAGTCAGATGTCGGCATCCTAAGTACTGTCACCTATCATTATGTCTTTTAACACCCACATGATGTGCACGCACAGACACACACATTATTGCTGATGGCACTGTGACAGCCCTGCCATATTAACACAGTCCTCTCTGATCCTCTGCCTGGTCACGCTGACATTTCCCACCGTCCATCAGTGAAGAGGGAAATGAATCAGAGAGGAAGAAGGAGAGGAAGTATGCTGGGAGGACGGAAGGATGAAAGGAGGAGACGAGAGACAGGCTGGGAATGCCAAAGTGATGGAGGATGAGAGCGGAGGAGGGGAGGCGAAGTGCAAGAAAAGTGGGGATGAAAGGGTGTGAAGAGAACGCGATGCCAGGAATAGAGAATGAAAGAGGGAGCGAAGAGAGTGTGGCGAGAGAAGAGGAGAGGAGGAGGAGGAGGAGGAGGATCTTAAAGGGGAGACAGTGTGAGCTATGAACAAGGTTAATAGGAGACAGCTGAGGGACAAAAAAAAAAAAAAAAAAAGCAGACGAAATAAGAAGAGAGAGGGGGTTAGCAGAGGGAAAGAGGCCATGGGAAATGCAGTGGGACCAACTAAAAATGGAGAGGTGGGGGCGCAGGTAACGAGAAACAGAGCGAGAAGAGGCAGACGAGGGGAGAAGAACGGGAGGCGTGGACCTGTGAGATGCCAGGTACACTCCACACCTGACCTTGTGAGAAGCACTGTGGATGTGAACAGAGAGCAAAAACTACAGTGAAACAGTATGAATAAACAAGCGGAAGAGGGGGGGGGAAGAGCGAGAACGAGCGAATAAAAGCCAAATCCTAATTTTCTCTGCAGCCCATTTGAGCCAGTCGTGGCTTATAAAACGAACATACGCTTATCAGCCTGTGTCCGCCTGCCTCGCTGCCTGGCTGGCTGACGCCTAATGGCATTCATGTCCTCCATGTCTGATCCTCACTATAGTTGAGAAAAGCAGAGCGTCAGAGGGGACGGGAGTGCAGGCCATCAACTAAAATATCCAATAGCCTTCAGAGCTCAGTGACGCTGTCATTTCATCAAACTAGGAGCTATGCCCTGTCAGGTGGGCTACAATGAAGCTTCCCCATTGTCCATGTTCCTGAAGATTGCTTCCCACTGGTCCACTGTGCATGTTTGTGTGTTTTTGTGGGAGAAAGAGAATGTGGGTGGCTTTTCCTTTGGCCTTTCTAACACATTCCTGTCTCAGTAACCACTCTGGGATTTCATATTTCGTCAAGGCCTTCATGAATTTCTCCATTTCCATTATTCTCCCGTGGTTGTTATTGTTTTGCCCAGGCTTTCCACTCCTTCAGCATAATAGCTTTGATATGGGAAACAGGGAGCGTCATCACTTTTCTGTCCTGACAGAATCTGTCGCCGCATGCGCCTTCTCTGATTAGATTTTCCTTTTAAATACTTTCTCCCACTCCCCGTCGCAGGTAAACTGAAGATAGATCCACAGCCCTTTTCACAAATCAAGTTTGGGACATTTGCCACAGTTACCCTTTCTTACACTTCACTTCAAATATGTTTGCACCACTGAAAAGGGAGGGAGAGGTGACAGAGATGCCTGAAAAGAGTGTTTGGGAGCTAACGCACATCGCACCACATGATAAAGGTTTTATTCTAATTCTATATTAGGCAAGAACAACCAGTGTTAAAAGTCTAAAATTAACAGACTGTAATCCTCACTCTGGGGAAGAGACTGGGAATCACTTTTTTTTTTTTTTTTTTTTTTTTTATATAAATCTATCTATCTTGAATGTTACTTTCCTTACTTAAAAAACAAAAAAGTATATGCTAATGTATACGATTTATTAAAAGGAGACAAATCTCTTGCAAAAATATACAAGCCGAAACTAGCTTTAGTGAAATAATAAATGTCAATGTTATTCTTTCAATGTATTTGCATTAGTGTCACTGCAGCTCAATTTGAGCCTTAAGACTACTACACACTGCTGTCCTTTTCCTTCTCTTAGTCTAAGTGCACCTCCTGAGTGCATTCAAGCAAGTGTTACACCAAACATAAGAGGGAGAAAGCAAGAGAGACGCTTTGATGAGTTCTTCTCATTGGTCATCTCAAGCGATCGGAGTTTTCAGTTGCGTCAAAGACGTGCCGAGAAAAGCTGCTGTTGTAACTGGATGAAAAGCCTCCAGACTGACCCTACAGGCCATATTTGCTCACCTGGTGGCAAATTATCACCCTATCTGATCCAGCTTCTTAAGTCAGGATCAGACCAGTATCATATCCAATAAAGCAGCGGTCCCCAACCTTTTCCGGTTTATGCCCGACAATATTTTCACGGACCGGGCTTTAAGGTGTCGCGGATAAATACAACAAAATAAAACTAGCACCGGTACCGAAAAAAAGAAGATTTATTTATAACACATGTGAAAAGACCCAGGAAAACCGAGTTAACGATAAAAACGATAACGAAATAACGCTGAAAAACGATAAAAACCATACATTTCACACCTGAGCTTCAACTCTCGCGGACCGGTACCAAACGACTCACGGACCGGTACCGGTCCGAGGCCCGGGGGTTGGGGACCGCTGCAATAAAGCAACCAGTGGATCCCTACAATAGACTGGACGTGTGTAAAAATGACTCACACTGCCACATTGTTTGACCACATTACTAAACAATATCCAGAAGAGGTTTGGGGCATTCAAACTTCCTGAAAAACAAGAA